GCATGCATGCAGCTCTACTTTGTGTGCTCTCCTGGTTATTGGTTGTGGTTTTTGGCTTTGGATGATGGGATGTGGTGGTAGATGGGGGCGATGGTGTCGGAGCGAGAATCGGCTGATATGACCTTCTGGGGCTGGAGGGGAGGGGTACCTCCCCGGGGGCAGCTGGCACCCGTGTGGTGGTGGTGGTGGTGGTGGTGGCGGCCAGGGGGGTGCATCGATAGTGGTTTCTCTCGCCACCACTACCAGCAGAAGCAGCGGCAGCAGCAGTTGCCACTGGTGGAGGTAATAAGCGATGGAGAAGACTGAAAGACAGCTTGTTGGGTGTCGCGTTGTGCTTGTTGCTGCCTGTGTGTGTGTTTTGCCAATCGAATCGAATGTTTTGGACCTGAACAGGGTGCATATGGCATAGGGGCTTTCTCCCCCTCGGGCCGTACCCACGACGTTACATACATACAAGACTCTCCGGCTGACTGCGCCTGCGGTAGGTAGCTAGGATGTGGTGATGGTTCGTGTCGAACCCCGCCCTGGAAAGCCCAGCCCAATATTCCACAGGAGGGGGGAAGAGGCGGCTTGCCACAAGTTACCGCAAGCCGACTTGTGTTTATGGCTGCCAACGATACTCCTTGGAGGGGGGTTGGGTAGGACAGCAACTCCTATGTCTCGATGATGACGCATCTCCAGTTGCTTTTGTCTCGCGATGGTGGTCGTGGTGGTGGTGATGGCAAAGGGAAAGGGAAAGGGCTGTGGAAGTGCCTGTGGTGGGTTGTCATATCATATCTTGCAGGTTACGGAGGGGGTTTTATCGCTTTCGAGGCGGCGCTGGAAGGAGCCACCAGATGCCGCTGCGAGGCTGACAGAAGCACCGAGCGTCGTTGCTTTAAATTGTAGGTACTTGAAAGATGTGCGAAGAGTGCATAGCATGGCTATACAACTTATATGACACTACTATGACCAACGTCACGCAAATTGGCAAATCACATTATTTGCGCGGCGTGAGTTGTAACCAAAAAAATATATGCTTCCATTCTACTTTTGTGAAGCTCCTTTAGGGGAAGCGCTGGGTGGACCAGGGTTTTATGGGTTTTGCGGCTTTTTTCAACGTTTATAAGTAAAAACATGTATTTCCCCCTTCACCAGTGAAATAAGATTTGAGTCAGTTCATTTTATGCAAAAAGCATGGCAAGCATCCTTTTGAAATACGTTATCCATGGATACTCGTTATGGGTGGTGCCTCAAAGATTTGCTGTAATTTTGAAAGCTGTGAATGGGCAGCTAGGGTGTCTAGCTGCCCGCTGCCTAAAGGATGCATGCACAGCAGCTGCGGCTGAGAAAAGCGCTAATCCAGCCACCAAACGGCCTTCCGACAGTCTGACAGCCAACTTACAAATGGGAATTTGTTCACCAAAGGAAATTCCCACAGTAACTACTTGGCCACTAACAGATTATGGGGGAACACAGAAAGCACTAATTCCGGGCATTCCACCGAGCGGTGACGGAGCGGTCATGATGGTTTGCTGTGGCGGTAATGCTGGCGGTGGTGGCGGCAGTACATTCGGGACATGCATGTGCCTGTGTGTGTGTCGAGCCGATTTCAACACTACCAGGAGTTTCGTTTTGGTGTCGACACCAGGCGATTGGGTGTTCGGAAGGCCGTTCAGGAGCCGTTTGCCGTTAGACGGTGTAGTCCGCCCTGCCATCATGGCGCGGTGCGGTGCGGTGTGGTGTGTGGGGGTTCCGTAGGTTTGGTGTTTGGGTTTTGAAGCCAACAGGGGGCGGTACAGGGGGGCAGATGTTGTGCGTCACCATACATAGGAGTGGTGGACGTATCCTGACGGCGGCGGCGCCCAACAGTCCAATACAAACCAAGGAACCAAGGACTGGCCAACTGCTGCGCTGATGTGAATAGACACAGAATGAGTGCGCCACCTTTCTTAGCATCTGATTTGTAAAGGCAATCCTGAAACGTCTGACGGGATGATAATACAAAAAGAGCCGGAAAGGGACTAGCTAAAAAGGTTTGCATGTAAAAAAAACCACTTAAGGACCATTTTAGAGCCGTGGCTATCTAAGCGACCCGTGTTAAACGTTAAGAGCCGTCACAGTTTTCTTCCCCAGTCCGAGGCCAAGGCACCACTGGACGAGCAGACATACATACAGACATACACAGCACTATAGCCGCTTAGAGCTTAAATGGCAGCTTTCTCTCTCTTGCCCATTCAAGGTGAGTGAGCTTAGACCTCGGAGGAAATGTATCCAGACAGGCGGGCGAGACGCGCAGTAAAATTTTGGTCAAGGGGAGGGCTCCTGGACTCTCGGCCCGTACTCGCCACGAACGTACTCTGCAAGGCATTTCTACTTATCTGCCATCCAGCGACGCACACACACACACACACATGCCTACGCAAATACACACAGGGCGGGAAGGCGGCGGGATAAAGCCAACCTTGCGGAGGGCATGTTCGAAGCCTGTTTGAAGGATAGTGCAGTCCAGCTGCAGATTTTATTCATGAGGCAGGTAGTGGGGACGGCACGGCCATCCCACAGGCTGTTGTACGCGGAGCTGGCTGAACTCCCCTTACAATATTACATGGTGACGCAGATTCTCCGTTTCTGGAACCGCCTTCAAAAGCAAGTGGGATCCATTGCTCATGCCGTTTTACGGCAGGAGATAACCGATGCCCTGACCAACCCGGAATGGGAGGGTTGGGGAATCTCAATGTTACGACTGTTTTCCTTCTTGGAGTGCAACATTTGGAGCGGAATACCGCAAGAAGTCGTGGGGGGTAAAGGAGCGTGTTGACTGGTTGTTGAGTAGACCTCTACCCTAAGGAGCGATAATAACGGCACTAAGAAAGCGTTTGATGAGTGGCTGGGACCATACGCGTCTGACTGTCTTGCCAGAGGAGTACCCATCAGATGGGAAGCAACCGGGAGTGCAAATGGCGAAGTATAAGCACTGGATGGGGCTGCCCTTTTCGGGAGCCGCAGCCGTCATGTGGCCAACACATGCTAAGGTTTTCATTCCTCGTTTAGCACATCGTAAGCTAATGCAGTTTCGTTTATGTTGCTGGGCTTTGGAGGCAAACAGAGCACGAAGGGGCAAGTACCATGTCCCCAGGGGGCAGCGGTTTTGCCACTGTTGTGGTACTAATAGCCGAATTGAGGATGAAAAACACGTGTTATTGGAATGCCCAGCCTATAATGATATTCGTGCTGAAGAGGGATTTGATCATCAACAGAGCATGTTGGAGGCCATGCAATGGGAACCCGCACGTCTGGCGAGGATGTTGGAACGTATGTGGGCTCACCGAAACTCAATTACCCCCTTTGGACGCTAATCTGGGCTGATGTGCAGTGTTTTTCCTTTTCTCCGTGGCTTTTAGGCGTTGTAGTATTGCCCTTGGGCCTTCGGCTCGTATGGGTAGTCTTACAGGTATGGGGTCACGCACCCCCCAACCATGTAACACACACACACAAATACACACACCAAAACGTCGTGGGGTTAAAAAATGTCTTCGGCCCCCCCGACTGCCCGCCTTAAAGCCCCCCGAGCAGCATTCCACGAACTCCACTCTGGGCTGTTTGTAGCAGCGCAGTGCAAAGTGAAGGGCCTCCCGTCCAAATACACATACACCAGCTGCCGCACGCCTCACGATATTTCCACTGCATGGAGCTCCCCTGGCTCACCATCACCACCACCACCACCGGCGGGGTGAGCCACTACCATCATCACCATCATCACAGGTCCTCTGCTGCCGATTTGAATTACATCGTGCCAAGAACTGCAGCCCAACAGCTTCATGTCCCCACGTGGGTCCCGCCGGCCGAATCTTCTGCACTTTGTCTGCTCCGTCAGTCCTGTCAACCTGAGTCTGCTGCAAGATGCCATAGAACCCTAAGACACCAACCAGCAGGCTTTCCCGCACTAAATTAGCTTCACACACTGGGCGCTTCAGCCTGCTCAGCCTGCGGAACCTGCACAGCCAGCACAGCATCATTAACTTGATCGGTGGGGGTGGTGCCCGCCGAGGGCGCTGGGCCGCTTCTCTCTGACGGGTTGCCGGGTGGCGAAATATCCGCTGCGTGGGCAAGCACCTGGCCATCAGGTGGTCGCCCGTCATCGGGAGTGTCGGCAGCAGCGGGCAGCGCACCCACGATCACGTAGTCTTCATTTCCGCAGCTGGGCGCCTTGGGCTGCTCGGCGCTCTCATGGCCGTTGCGCTCCGGATGCGGGGAGGTGCTGGCGCCGCGGGGCGCCACCCCAGCGGCTTGGCCGGAGAAGATGGCCGGACCGTTGAACACACCGAAGGGCAGGCAGACCCAGCGCTGCCAGGCGCTCACGGTGGGCTCGTTGCCGGGGCGCTCGTTGTCCGCCATCGCCAATTTCAAAGCAAAACTACTAGGGCTGACCCCACCTCCTGCTACTGCCAACTGTGGCAGGGACAAACAGAAGCAGGAACAGTGCGCCAAGAAGGGAGATCAAGCGATATAATCGGGCGTGTGCGCAAAGATTTCGTAATTGACAACACCGATAACATGTTAGTATGAATCAACGAGATCGATGTAAAATAAGGAGCAAGGCCGCTTTTCATACGCAACAACAGAACGCCCGGCGAACTAGATCCGTCGCTCGCCATCGATCTGCCACAAACAGGAATCGTAATATGTATCAGGCATGAAGTTACATGCATTTGCCGCTGCCTGTGCAAATAGATAGGCGCACGGCAAGTGGGGCGGCCAGAGAGCGTGCGTGCGTGAGTCTCGGTGAGTCCACTGTTGACTTCGCGTACCGCCGAAAGCTGCCCAAGCGCTAAAACGCTTGCAGACTTTTCAAGAATTAGACTGCTTACCGTGCCTTGGTCGCCGGTGTCCAGCGACTTGGTTCCTGGGCTTGCCTCGAGGACAGCGTCGCACCGCAAGTGGCTGCGGTGGCGGCAGCGTGCGAGGGATTCACAATATAGTTCCGATGAGGAGTTGTTGTGGCTATTTGAAATGGATCGCCGGGCCCTGCAGAGTTGACGCAGTTGGCTCCGAAGCCCTTCTTGGGCCCCCTGTATCTCGACTTCCAAGAAGCTCCAAGATTGGATGACTGCGTAGATGTATCTTTTAGAGTTACTGAGTGGATTAAGACGTTTGGGGTCTGTAAAGCTTCGCTTGTGTGGTTTAGTCGCGCGTCTTGTACGCCTCGAGTGCAAGTGACGAACGCCAGCAGGCTTAGCGGGCTTCATAAGACTAAATGAATCAATCGACTCAAACATATTATGAGCTAAGGATGGCTTGCGGCAGATTCAGTGGCGTCGTGCACATGTGCTGGTCAAGGGCCCCAACCAAGCGACGAAAGACTCCAAATGATTTCCGGCGCAATGAACTCCATGAACTTCTTTAATTTCAAAATATCTATTCCTATTTCAGTTTCTGTCCTGGCGTGTATTTCCGCTCGAGACGAAGTCCGCAGGCTAAACACCTGATAATAAGATCAATTCAGGCATATCACGTGCATAGGCAAGTTAAAATTTAGGCGAATCACAATAATTTAATTTAGATAACTATCAATCCGCAAGCTATCTTGTGTACCTGGCCGTCTGAAAGGCCGTAAAACCCTCAAGGAGACTGGAGAAAGATGTTAAGGGACAAATATTTCTACAGTAAATAATATGTAAGATTTATTTCATGTTTGAGTTGGAGGACGTGTTGGCCGTTTCAGTGGATCACCCGACCGAACAGGCACGCCCGGAGACCGTCTTAACTTCATACAGAAATCCGTCTTAAATTTACATAGCTATCATTCCAATCATATTATGTCCGCCCCTCAGGTTCAGGCTTGCATGGCCGTAAGGCAAATCGGGACAAGACAGACAGCTAACAGACCAAACGAAAGTGGCTGGGAACGTGGGAACGTGGGAGCCTGGGAAATGGATTCTAAGCTGGCTTTTACTAAGCAACAATCCTGTAAGCATGCAAGACAAAATTTACATTGCGGCTGGAGCTTGAAGGGTCGTTGAGAAAGGGTCATTGAGCTCGAAGGGTCGTTGAGAAGCTGCAGAAGCAGGGTGAGCTGCGGGCCACCTCGCGCCTGCAGGCCTAGTATTACGAAGACCTCAGAACGCGTGTTCCATTGACTGGGAGGGCTTTGGTATCAACGCTATGCCGAATACAGTAGAACTATCAGGGTGCTACGGAACGTGGTTTATGAAGATTTATGATAGGGGCTTTCACCCAGCCTGTATCCCTGGCGTATACCCTCACCCCTTCAACATCGAAGCAAGGCGTAATAAACCGCGGTGATCCCCATCATCCGCTGCGGATCAGCACAAATGGGAAATTGGCATAGAACTGCACTGCACGATGCCAGCAATGACTGTTCCTGCAAGTTTATGTTCTAAGGATCAACAGGCCATGTTGGAGGCCATGAAAGGGGAGGTACGTCTGGCGAGGATGTTGGAAGGTATGTGGGCTCACCGCAACTCAGTTACCCCCTTTGGGCGCTAGCCTGGGCTGATAGAGCGGTGTTCCCTGTTCTCCGTGGCTTTTAGGCGTATGTGTGTGTGTGTGTTACATGGTTGAGGGTGCGTGACCCCATACCTGTAAGACTACCCATACGAGCCGAAGGCCCAAGGGCAATACTACAGCGCCTAAAGCCACGGAGGAAAGGAAAACACCGCACATCAGCCCATCAGTTCCGAACTCATATAGAAATATTGGCGACGAGTTCCCCCCATACTGCTGTACATTCATATCTTCCGGGGTTTTCCAACCTCCTGCCTTGTCCTTAACTTTCATTCGTTCCTCTGCCGCCCGCCGCCTGCTTCTTTGATGCGTGCATTTGAAAATGTTGTCGTGATGTCGCTGGTGTCATTCTGCATCAGCCACATAGCTTTTTAAGGGGCCGACCACAAACAGCGATGGCTGCGAAGCAGCAGCACCCACCAGCAGGCTGACCGCGTACTTGGTTTTGTCTATGGTTCCAAAAACAACGCCGACAAGACCGGCAACTTACACTCGCACCTTACCAGGTTGTCACTACATGCATTAACGCATGCTGTACACACTCTGCCGTGTCTGCCGAACCGACCATTTATGGGATACCTACATATGTGGTATCACTCAGAATACCCTCTCAATACAGGGACGCCCATCACTATACCGAACTGCAACCGCTAGGATTGCAAGAGCGGGACTGCCTAGAAGCAAACCCCAACAACTACAGCCACGCAAAGCCCGTCTCCAGCCAGCGCACGTCTCATCTTCCACGTCGGCTTGTTTTGGACGGCCCGCATTCCCACGGGTTTTAGTTGGTGTACGACGCGATAACAGAATGGGGTTATGGTTCGGCTGCCTCACTCAGTTCTGCGCTGCTTCCCACGGCTTTTAAATCGCTGCTGTCGAGTCTGGGCTGGCCGGGGGTTAGCTGGTTCCTTCGAACGCCCCCAAAGCCCCCCACTTCCCTCCATCCTTGTACTTGGGATCACAACATCACTACCTGGAGACCAAAGCTCCCAGCGAGAGGCGCTACATCCCAGTGCGGACATCCGCCTCCATTTTACTGTCGAATGCCCCCATACTGCGGTTGCCCAGAGGCGGGCAGCTGATCGCCTCAGACCCCCCGGGGCCCGTGCGCGGACTAGGAACATGGTGCTCGCATGGAATTGGGCCCTATTACAAATCCAGAAGAACCCGCCGCCACACACTCCCCCCCCAGCGTACAAGACAGGCCACAGACCAGCAGACTTGGGATCCTTAGGAACACGCAAAGCACACGTCCGAGAACGAGAGTCGTTGACCAAGCCTCTTTCCATTGGTCCACAGACGTGGCCGCAGCTGCCGTCCCTCAGTCCTCGCCTTCCTCCTCCTCGTAGCCTTCCTCGTCCTCGTCGTAGCCCTCATCATCCCCTGCGCAGCGCCGTGGGCCAGATTAGGACGCGCGGTGCGTGCGCGCACTAAGTGTTTTTGACAGCACGTGCGGGGAAGTGCAGTGCCAGATTGCGCCAGTGCGATAGATGTGGCATTTTTAGTTATTGTAAACAAATCATTATTTACGGACCAAGAACGAATGCACACACCGCACCAGGTGCTGCAGCTGCTGAAAGACAAGTGCAGCACACAGTGACAATTCGCCAACCTGTACTGATGCGGCCGCTCCCAAAAGAGGGAGGGAGGAGGGCTCCCATACTTCCTTGCAATTTGGTGCGGCACGGACACCCTTAGGCCGTGTCATGCCATGCATTGGCCCCTCTGCTGAAAGCAGACATCGCTCAGAAGTCCCTTGTCCCCAGAGGATTCCACGGCATGCTGCTGCATGCCGGTGTGCGCTACAAACGCCCAAAGCACGACCGGCAAAACCCCCAAGCCTCAGCCTTGCGGGCTTACACTCCCCCTTCCCGCACCTTCTGCTATGGCTTGCCCGCCGGGACCCGGGGCGCCTGGCGGCACCAGGAAGACTTGCCCGCTGCCGTCCTTGGGCATGATGATGCGGTAACCCATCTGTTGGAGCATCTGCAACATCGCCGTGTTGCCGCCACCGGGGCCAGCTGATGCAGCGCCGGCCTTCTCCACCTCCTTCTCGTCATAAGCATCCATGACATCATCGTGGGGCTGCACCTCCACGTCTTCATCGTCCGCGCCGACTAATAGCGGCCCTTCCTGCTCGCGCTTCACCTTGTAATTCCGACTCGGCTTGCGAGTCTCCCGAGCCGTTTCTGTTTTCTGGGCGCTGGGTTTAGGATCGGACTTCCCGGCAGCTTTTTTCTTGTTGGCCAGGTAGCGTCGGACGAGGTAGGCGACCACCGCGACCGGAAGCGCATATTGCTGGACCAGGCCTTGGGCGATGCTTAATATGGTTGGTTTTGGTTGTTTCGCTTCCCAAGATTTCATTGCAGACATGCTAGATCCAGCCTGTGAGGACATCGTGGCTGCTAGGCGCGGCCGCCAACGATTCCGACCTCAACTGACGAGGGTCAGGACTAGACTACGGGTAGCTGTACTGAAACGCCACAAATGCAAGTGCTGCAATTTTACTTTGTGATGGCCTCGCCGTGGCTTTTCCACTGCGATGTGCGAAGGTGGGCAACGTGCATACTGCCGTAACTACCGGCCACAACCTCTATTGTTTGCCAAGTCTCTCCTTTGATGTCCAATATTATAAGTCGATTACCATACGTTTCCTTCCATTACATGCACGGCAGCGCTGGTTTCTTGTGTTCAGGACATAGTCCTACTTTACAGTTTCACGAACGCGTGACGTGAGACACTTTCTTAGCATTCCTAGCGAAATCTGGTACAGTATGAATAACGCTGATTTCCGCAAGTTACTTGAGACGCCCCGTGCCGAACGGTGGGGTAACCAAACTCCAAGTAATAAACCTGATGCATCTCCAAAGCCGAAACCAAAAGGGGAGCACAAGCCGCATCGTCCTCATGGCAAGCCTGGTTTCAAAAAGCCAGCTGACAAAAGCAACGCGGAAGATGCTGAGGATGATGGAGCACCCAAGTATCGGTGAGCGCAATGGCCACGCACGTGTGACAGATCTAGCGTTTGGCACTTTGACTGCTTTGGCATTGTTTGCCGCGTGTCATGCAAAGCAAACTTTCCCATGTTCACCCTAGCCCCGAAGTTATCATCCCCGTTGACCCGGCCTGTTCATGGCAGTAGAAACTGCTGGATATGGGCACCAGGTGCCCCCCGGCAAACCAACCCTTCCCAAACCCACTCTCCCCCTCGCACATACACACCGTCCCGCACCCACATGAATGCCTATCCACCCCTATCCACCTCTTTACATCCCCCCACACCCCTACCCGCTATAACGCGCTCCGCAGCGACCGCGCCGAGGAGCGCCGTCGCGGCAAGAACCTTGACTACGAGGATGCCAGCGCGGTCCTGTCTGCGCTGTCAGGCTCCGGCGGCGTGGGGGGGGACGCGGGCGGCGATCTGGGCACCGTGGATCTCTCCAAACTGAGCGAGGAGGAAACCAAGTACCTGGGTGGCGACATGCGCTTCACTCACTTGGTGAAGGGTCTGGACTACGCGCTGCTGCACAAGGTGGGGACCCGGAAAGAAGGGAACGGGTCACAGCGAGAGTTGACGGGGGAGAGGCTGGGTTACAGTTGGGGCTCGCGACGTGGTTCATCGCCCAACAGCCCTTAATTAGCATCATCCAAAGAGGGGAAAAGAAACGACCGGCGGATGCCTGTCTCAGTTTCTTGTCAAAATTGGCATTTTCTATCCAGGTTGCCGAACAGCGTCTTGTATCCGTTGCGATTGGTTTGCCGCCATGCGATGGTGCCCTGTGCGGTGGGATATGGTGTGGTGTGGTGTACGTTACAGACACGAACAGAAATCACCAAGAAGAAGGACGATGATGGTGATGGCGACGACGACGAGGGAAGGGCCGGTGGGGGGGCGGATGCGGGCAGCAAGGCGGAGGCCGCCCGCGACGCCCAGGCTCGCGCCAACGCCCGCGCCAATGCGGCATCCGCGGCGGGGCGCAAGGAGGAGGTTCGCTTTACGGCCCCGCTGGCTCGCTCCGTGTTTAATACGCTGTTCTCTGCACCGCGCGCCAATGTACGGGAGATGTACCTGCCGCGTCGTACGGCATTTGTGTATGACTTTGACAATGAGGATTCGTTGGATACGGATATTCCCACCACGCTGCGCCGGCCGAAGAGCGAGTGCCCCCCGGTACGGCAATGTGGATTGGGGCGGGGTGGGATGGGCCGGGAGATGGGTTGGGGGGGTGGTGGTTTGGGGGCCGGTATTTCTCCCCCGGTGGTGTTGAGCTCCTGCACGATCAGATTCGTGCAGTATGCTTCTCATATTTCTTCAAGCACGGAAAAGTTAGTTGGCAGTTGGCTAGTTTGGACTGCATGGAAACGAGCTCCACGCCTTCCGGTGTTGTTGCTGCTAATGATGATGATGATGATGGCGATGGCGATGATGATGATCGTTCTTTTTCTTCTGCCTGATCTCTCTGTCTCCCTTAATCACCGCCACCATAACCACATCTCCCTTTCCATTGCCTCGTGGGGTCTTCCCCGAGGGACAGGCGGTGGAAACTCTCTTTGCGGGCATGGACGACGCCGTACTGGACCGCATCGCGCGCATTCTGTCGTACGTCCGTACAACCGCGGACGGCAAGCGGCTCAAGCGGCGCGACCGCGACGCGTTCCTGGTGAGCGCCTTGCAGGCTGCGGTCACGGCTGCGTGGGTTTAGTGTGAGCGGTAAAGTGAGGGGTAAGATGAAGGAAGCAGATGGCACGAGGGTGGCTCAAGGCAAATACAAGCAGGGATGGGCGAATGGGGAAATGGATTTCCCCTCCCCTTGCCTTCCTCCCCCCTCGCCTCACCCCCCTTGGCATGGGTCCTTGACGTCCAAATCAGGCTCAGCAAATGGATGCCGCTGCTGTTGTTGTTGCTGCACCCCACAGGATGTCGCCCACCCGAGCTTCATAACATCCCCCGCTGCCATTCGTCTGCCCATGCCCACATATTCGCCAATCCAGCCACCCCCCTGCTCACTCCCTCTCAGGGTATAAAGCACGACGTGGCCGCAGGCGGCCAGCAGGCGGTGCCCCCCACGGCAGTGGCGGCCCCTGCCCCCGGCGGCGCCACTGGGCGGGCGGCGGACGGCGGGTCCCGTCCCTCGGGTCCTGCAGATGAGGACGACGACATCTTTGGTGACGCGGGCACGGATTACAAACCCACCAGCCACAAGACCGCCAAGGCCAAGGACGCGGCCGGCCGGGACCAAGGGGGTGGACACCGGTGAGGGGGGAAACAGGGGAGGGACATGAGCCAATGTGTTTGTGGACAGGATGATGTATGGTGTTGAGGATCTTTTCCCCCGGGTCCATGGCCCCGCAGAGCCGCGGTGCTTTGCCGTTGCTGGTGTGTCGCCTACGTGCTGGGGGCTTGGGGGGCTGGGGCTGTGATTAGGTTCGCGGTGCCCGGGGCCCAGTCTGCAGGTCCCGCCACCGCTGAGGGGCGGGGGCGCTGTTCGGGGCCTCCTTATCCTGTGCTGTGAAGTCCCTGTTTTCCCTCTTACCTTAATCCTCTACCTCGCGGTGGCGCCACAACCACCCCGGCCAACTCCCCCTCCCCGGGGAGCCGCGACTGGTTAGTTATTGCTTCGTTTGAACTTCTGGAGTATCGGTCTATCCTTGGCATCAGCTTTTCTCGTGCGTGTGGTTGTCTTCCCCGTCTGCAGGCGGGGCGACGGCTCCTACTTTGATTCCAGAGACACGATGGCGGATATTCCCATGCCTGGGACTAGCATACGGCGGCCGGGGATGGCGGCAGCTGCGGAGGGCGGCGACGACATGGATCTCGAAGAGGGGGAGATGCCGCCACCGCCGCCGCCGCTGCCGCCGGCGCCGGCGCCAGGGGCAGCGGCGGGAGCCGGAGCCGGCGGCATAGCTTTCGGCGCGCAGGCAGGGGCACAATACGGTGCTGCATACGAGGTGCAAGGGTATGACCAGTACAATATGTACGGCGGTCAGCAGGGCTACGGCATGGATAGCATGGCGGCGTACGGTGCTGGGCCGCAGTACGGTGCTTCGATGTACGGCGCCGTCCAACAAGGCGCAAAGGTGAGCGCCTGTCTCGCCGTTTCTCGTCTGTGGTGTGATGCCAGTGGCGGCGTGGCTATCCCCCAGTCACTACTTCCCGTTGCTGTATTCCATGACGAGGTGTGAGGTGTGAGGTGCGAGGTGTGTGGATGAGGATGTGGATGTGGCTGGTGTCAGTTCCAGGACAGCGCCTAACCTAATGCGCCTAACCTAATGCGCCTTAACTTATGCGTCGACCTGATATTTAGATGATGTGGGTGTGGGTGTAGGGGCGGGCGAGGGTATTGACTGTATTGCAATGCAGCGCAGTGGCATAGATAAATGAATGAATGAACGGATGGTGCACGGTCTTTCTTTTTTTTCCCTCCCTCCCTGCATACGCTGCCCTCCAAAACCTGCGCGCTGCAGGTAACAGGTAACGCGTACGGCACTACGGAGGAGCCCAAATGGCGCAGTCGACCCAAGGTAAGCGGATCTGCCGGGAGGGGAGGGATCAAGGCGGAAGAGGGAGGAAGTGTGGGGAAGGTGGGAGGCGGGTGGGCTGGTGTGTATTGGCATGCCGTTGAGCTGTGACGTGAGCTCAACGGTTAGGGGAACCGAAGGGGAAGACGAAGGGATGATCCCTTTGGTTCCCCTAAAGGGGATGAACCAATGTGACAGATTTCACGACAAAAGCCCTTGAAGAAGAAGAAGAAGAAGAAGGGGCCTAAGTTTGGCAGCCCGGCAACAATTTTTTGCCGGTTAGGAGCCGAACCGCTTTGGCTGTCTCGCTTCCACTACCCTACGTGCGATGAAGAAACGGGAACACCTTTTAGGTACCGAGTAGACGAAGGCTGGCTTGGAAAAAAAGGGGGCTCCACCCGGGATATGCTCCACGACATCTGGCTGCATCTGCGTCGGCTCTGGGGACGAAATAGAGCTGGCAGCAGCTCCACTTCCCCAGCAACACCCGCGCCTCCACGCCAGTCTGCTGCGCGGCGACGACAGCAGCGGCGGGAGCAGCGGCTACCGTCACTTTGCTTGCACAAACGAGCGTCGACTTTGGTAATCGTTCAGCCTTATCGTAGAGCAGAGTAGAGCAGGGTGATCGTCACCATCATCGTCACCACCCCGCCACGGGACCATGATTGTGTTTACAATTAGCCGTCCCTATCGTCATGTGGCCAGGTAGAACTCCGCACCCGCAACCATCCCCCCCCTTCGCGGTTCTCGCTGTCTGTGACTGCAGGACGCCAAGGCTCGCGGCTTGGATGCCGAGGCGGACGACGACGCCTATGCGGAGTGCTACCCGGGCATGGCTGGCTATGTGGGCGCACTTGTGGACTCGGACGACGAGGGAGGGGACCTGAACCACATGGATTCCAAGCAGGCCAAGGGCAAGACGAGGTCAGTAAGCGGACGGGGTTCAGGCGAGGGGATGGAGATTGGGGGATTTGGGGTCAAGGTAGGAAGGGAAGGCTGGTCGCTGTCGCGGTCGTTGTGCGCAGCTGCGGTTGCTGGCAGCTGCCGCTTACACCGCTGCCTGCTTGGCAGCCTTGTTGACGATGTGGCGGCGCCGCCTGGTGCTTTGCTAAATATATGCTTGCGATTCCCTGGCGTGTAATCTCTCACGTCGCACTTTGCTTGCGTTCCGTTTTGTTGGTCTTCCTCAACCCACACCTCCACCTCCACTTCCCAGGGCTGACTTCGCCACGGATGAGGAGTGGCAGCGGTACAAGGAGTCCAGGGAGACTCTGCCTCGAGCCGCCTTTCAGTACGGAGTCAAGCGGGCAGATGGCCGGAAGAGCCACAAGGAGCTGGAGAAGGTAGGGAACGGGTGGGCCCCTCTGCCACCTGGTTGAGTGCGGTGGGGTTATCTCCCTCCCCCTGCAGCAGGTGGCACCATAGCATCTGCTGGAGCTGTGACGGACAGACAGACAGATAGACGGAAGGAAGGAAGGAAGGAATAGGACGTCGTGATGTCTGCATCGTGCTGGCTGTCAGCATATGTCCCCGGCCCCTGGCCGTGGCTTTTCATTCGAGCCTCATACTACACCTGTCCTCCCCCGTCTCCCGGTTCCCCTCCCCTTTCTTTGTTACCTCGTTGCGTGTGCCAGGGCGCCGTTGTGGAGCAGCGGCAGCGGGATCAGAAGCTGGATGGCCAGCTGCGCAAGATTGAGAGGCTGCTGCAGGACAAGGGACACGACCACGGGCAGGCGTTTGCACGCAAACCTAAGGAGAGCGAAACCGGAGCTGGAGGAGGTGGGGGCCGCGGGGACGAGACACCGTCGGTGTTCCGGAAACGGCAACGCATCTGAGTTTGTCGGAGGGATGGCGGAGCGCCTGGGGGAGGGTTGTGTGCCCTTAACAGCACAATGCTACTGGGCGGAAAGGAATGCGGATTGCGTGGAAAGTTGCAGTACTGCGGACCAAGGCTGCGCCAGGTTAGAGTTACGGCACTGCGGAGGGCGCAGGGGGCCTGCGGAGGCTGCGCTGGTCACCGTCCTTCATGAGCCAGACCGCCTCCCGAAAGGGAATGGTGTTGGACACGTCGTTCAGCTCCTCCTGTGTTAATTGCGCCTCTGCTGCCAAACGGTATGGAGAGGATGCGTGGGAGTACTTGAAAGGCCTGGCGCCTCAGCGTCGTGGCGTTCTCCTCCTCCAGTGCTGTCTGCCGGTGCTTAGCTCCGGGGTCATCCGCATGTGCGTACGAGTGCCTGGGTTGCGCTGACTAGTGTACAGAGGATATACCATGAGTTCACTGCTGCTGCACCCGGTAGGGAGGGAATGTGCGTGATTCCGTGTGAGTCCCGCCCGTGAGCCGTGCAGGTCGCCACAGCCTGAGGCGGACCGGGGCATCTATAAAGCAGCAGCAGCAGCAATTGCCTTAGGTTATATTGTGGCTACTGTACGGCGGAGGCGACGTGCGCTTCTGCTCCTGAAATTTCTTGATTGGACCAAAATTTGCGCTTTTGTGATTCGAGGCCGAGGAAGCCCTCCGCAGGCGACTTCGTTGCAACTGGGGCTTGCACCTGCTGAAAGTTAATGGAAGTCCGAATCCGTTCCAGGTTGGTTGGTTGGCCGTGATGAGGAGACATTTGGCGACACAGCGACTTTGACATTCGACCGAATACCTATTCGACCACCAATCGAGGAATTCGAGGAAATCAAGCCCTGCCGCGCTTGAGCTCAGTTGCTATAAGGTCCCGTGCTGCTCTCTCATTCCGGCTCACCCAAAACAAAGCGCTGTCACGCCCTAGAGGGGCCCTCCCGCAAAAAAGAGGGCCCAGCCGGCTCGCTCCATTACAGGGCGCAGTCGCAGCCGCAGATGGCAAAAGCAGCTCGCGCCATGCGACGCCTCTCGCCACCAGCTTCATACCTTCCCTCAGTTCAAATTCAGCCAATCCGACACATCGCGTCTTGTGCAGATGCTGAAACAAGGCTTCACGCCTCGACAAGCACGCAGGTAGATAAACGAGTTTGTCAGGAGCGACACGCGACCAAGAAAACCTAAACAACCAACGGAGGGACCCGCGGCTGGTTATAATTATGAAGTCAAGAAGCTGCCCACAAGACCAACGGGTCGTGCCAAACAAAGCGGGATGGAATGCAGCTGTTACTGCCGCCGCAGCAGCACCAAAGCCGCCTCAGCAGTAGTGCAGCAACAGCAGCAGCATCCAAGCTCCCCCTTACGGCTGCGCCTCCCTCCTTCCCCCTACCCCGCCCTCCCTGGATGCACTATTTGCCACCTGGCTTCTTGCTGGGAGGTTTAGGCTCCGGCAGCGCCACCCTGACAAACCCTGGCGCCACCCGGCTACCGGGGGAGGTGGCGACCAGGTAGCCCATGGCATTGGGCTGGGCGATGCGGGCCTCGTCCTCCGGGGAGCCGATAACCAAACCCTCCACCACCCGTTTCCCCGCCTCCAGCCCCACCTGGTGATGGAGGAGAGGGGGGAGGGGGGATGCCAAGCAGCGGGTTGGAGAGCTGGCAAGGGAAAACTGGCCCCTGGGAGAGAAAGGGGGAAATTAATACGGAAATGTTCTTTGGGGAGTTCTGGTGCAGGCAGGAGGAGAAGAGAAGGTCAACAGAGAGTGTGGATGGAGGGCTGGGAGGCAGGGAGGGGTCGATGCACCCGTCCGCTTCCCTCCCCTCCGCCCCCTCACCTCCCCTTTCCTCCCCAACCTCAATAACGAGGTCGGCCAACTTACCTGCACACTGGCCACGATCTGGCCCTCCACCCGGGAGAGTGGCAGCGCCGGCGGCAGTGTGTTGGTGGTGCTGAGCAGCAGTCGCACCCGAGTGGAGCCATCCGGCATGAGGGTGTTGACAACGAGGACCCGCAGCAGCCGGTCGGAGGGTAGCGGGCGGGGGGACTCCGCATGCAGGGTCAGGTTCACCTGGGGGGGTGAGGAGGTGGGGCGCGATAGGGGGGATATTAGGGCGCAGGGAGGAGGATGCGGGGGCATTGTGGGAGGTGTTGTAGCGGTGATAAGGGATAAGGTGAAGGAAAGATGTGGCTTGGTTCGGCCTGATTGGGCACTTGTAAGGGGCAGAAAACACGCGCACAAAAGGCCAAGAGACACGACGGTGCCCGCTTTCACCACAGGCAAGCCCCACGTTGCGTCCGCTCGGCAACGGCGCTAATTGCCCAAGTGCGCATGAGACGCACCACACGCGCGGCCGCGGGGCCCTTCTACATTCCCAGCCCCCTCCCTCCCTCCCTTCTTCCCGCTCCCTCTATCAAGGGATATCCCCCGCAGAGGAGAATGGGCCCTACCCCTTTTCCCTCCCTCCCCCTCCCCCCCACCTGCCGCCCCCACTCCATGTCGGCCGTGCGCCAGACGTGGCCTGGCTGTGGCGGCTGGTTGATCACGGGTACCACCGCGGGAGCTGCATGCGCGGAGGAGGGCTTCTTGCCGCCCGCAGTCGCCCCTCCCCGGGCATCTGCCCCCGGGGCCGGCGATGTGGGGGGTGGCAGGCGCTCCTGCAGCTGTGCGGAGATGGTGAGGGGAAAGGGGCAGGGCTCTCCAAGGACCACCTGCAGGGCGGTGTGGAGGACACACAACGGGCGGAGGGAGAGGGGAATGAGGTTTTCCGTACCATCGCCGTGGGTCAGAAGTACCCGGACTTCTGAAGTGGAGTGCAGAGTCCAGACGGTGACACTTTTGGATGCAATTGTGGATGAAGCCCCAGGTGCTTCACGTCATGTTTAAAAACTGAGATGAGATGAGCCAAGGGCCCCTTTCTCTTCCTCGCCCGAGATCGAACCGAGGTTCCCCCAACAGCTTCTCGCCGCGCAATTTCCACATCTCCAGCACATTCCATTGCCCCAAACCCAAACCCAAATCCCAAGACCAAACACCTAGCGTAACAGCCGCCGCCTTCACTCACCGGCAATGGCGTGGCCACCTCCGGCTCCCACCCCGCCCCGCGGGCTGTGGAGGGCGCCTTGCGGCCCCCGGCGGCCTTCTTGGGGTCTTCTTCTGAGAGCCACGTGATGGTGAGGCCCGTGGGTATGAGGGCCGGAGCACCCGCCTGGAACTGCCCCCGGTAGGTGAGACCGCTGCGGGCCTGGAACCACTCGCCCTGGCCCTGGTACAACCCGCGCTCCCATTCGCCCTTCGCGTGACATAGGTGGCGGGGAGGGAGGGGAGCGAGGGAGGAAGGCATATGCAGGATGAAAAAATGGGGGGAGAGGATGGGGGGAGGGATGGAGAAGGCTGTGAGATGGTGGGGTGAATGGATGGGGCCCTGGCCGGCGGTTGGGGCGGGTGCGGATATCAGATGGTTGGGTGTCTCTCACGGGATGGCCCCCTGTTGGTCGGGTGTGATCCCCACCGGGCGCAACGAGCCACTTCGGCCGCCAGACAGACCCGTCCTCCCTCCTCCCTAAACCTGTCCTCCATCCGTCACCGTCTATCTCCACCCCATCCGCCATCCTAACCCCACCCCTCCCTTTACCTTATACCAGCTGCCGTCTGCGTAGGTGCACTCGCCGTAACCGGTGCGCTGATTGTCCGCCCAGCTGCCCTCGTATCTGACCACACAGCGTTCCGGGACACACAGCCCGCCCGCCGGGTGAGCGGGGGCAGGTTTGGCGGGAGAGAGCGCGTTGGGCGGCGTGTTGGGGAAACCAAAGAGCCCCCACCCCAAACACCAGCTATCTCAGATATTTCATCCCTATCCCCTCCTTCCTTACTTCAGGTCTTCAGGCAGTCTGGTGGCGAGGTGGACAGGCAGGTAGACAGGCACTGACAAGGGGCCCTTGTCCTGCCCTGCCCCTTCAGAGGGGGTCTCTAACCCCTCCACTCCCCTCCCCCTTTCCCTCCAGTTGCCCTCCTCCACGCACCTGCTTCCATCCGCGCACGTGACCACCCCCTTGCCTTGGCGTTTGTGGTTGACAAAGTCCCCCTCGAACACATCCCCGTTGGCGAATGTGTACACACCCACTCCTGCAGACAGACAGACAGGTAGACAGACGGACAGACAGACAGATAACGGTAAGAGGAGGAGCGCACCAGGGGAGGGGACCCAGGGGGAGAGGAGGGGAGAAAGAGGGTATGACCCAAACAATGACCCACCCAGGTGAGCCCTTCGATTCCAGAGCGCGGTGCTCCGCTGCAGCTGAGCCACTTCCCACATGTGCCCATCACAAATCCACCGCACCCTAGGCCATTCATTTACAATACACTCGTCCTCCATTACCCCAGCACCTCTCGCCCCAGGCCTTCCTCCCACTCACCTTGGAATGCGTTGTGCACCAAGGGCCCCTGGTAGGTGTCCCCGTTGGTCAGCCGCATCACTCCGAAACCATGCATCTCCCCCATCTCAAATGTCCCTGCCAGGAAGACAACCAGCAACACATGTTGAACAGTAGACGGGGATGAACAACATCACTGACACAAATATGACTATGGTGCTGTACCACATCACCAGAGACAGCGCAGCAAGCCAGCCGGGGACAAGCAGGGTCAAAGGGACATGCCGTGCCGTGCCGTGCTGTTAGCTTTTGCTTTGAGGCGTGTGGGGATTGAAATCGGCCTTACATCACATGAGGCTGGTGTTGGCCCGCAGCATCAGACTGTTGTGATCCCGGAACCCGCCTCCACGGCGGCTTCCTGGTGCTGCTTTAGCGTCCTGTGGGGAGGTGAGGTGCTGTGAGGCCCCGCCTGATCCCCCCGCCGGAAATCCTCATCCACCCCTCATCCCGCCGTTTGCAGTATTGAGCCCTCACCATCCCAACACAGCCCGCATCCAAGGTTCGGCAGACACACGCATGCACGCACGCACACGCACCGATGTAGACATCGCCGTTTGCGAACCTCCGGGTGCCCTGGCCCACGATTTCGCCCTCAACGAACTCGCCCTCGTAGTAGGCTCCGTCGCGCATGCTGAGCTTCCCAAGGCCTGAGGAGGAGCAGCAGGGGGAAGAGAGGGAGCGGTAGGGGAGTTGCCGGGGCGTCGCGTGAGGCGTGAGACGGGAAGGGAGGCTAAGGAGTGTCAGGCTTTGGCCGCTGTGGTTCGGGCCCGGTTTCTGGGTGGGCGGCAGTCAGGCCGCGGGCTGACCCACCCTTAACCCCGAGGGGTGCGTGTTGTACCATGGTGTGAACAAGGCCCCCGAGATCCTGCCTGGCTCTTCCTTTTGCTGCATTTAGTTTAGTTTGTCTTTGAAGATATTACGATGCGAATACTGTTTCTGATAGTGAAGAGCAGGAAGCTTGTGGGCAGAGCAGGCCTCCAAAGCGCAGCTGAGGCTGAGAGTTGGTGGACGGGGCGGGAGGAGAAAAGGTGCGCGGGAGGGTTCAAGGGTTCGGTTCCCGCGTGCGAAGCATTACTTCTGTCTTACCGTGTTTCTTTCCGTTGACCCATTGCCCCTCGTACTTGAAGAAGGAATTGGGATAGGTGTAGCTTCCAAACCCGTGTCGACGGCCCGCGACATAGTCCCCCTCGTAGCATCGATCGAGCTCGATGCCGCGGACGCCCGTGCCTAAGCTCGGTGCTGTATAGAATGTGTTAGATCCAGCTCGCTCCGCGGTAGATGACGCCGGGTCGGCCGGTCCTGCTGCTGACATGCTCTAAGGATGACGGGTTACCGAGGACGAACGAAGGAAACGAGTAGCATTATAGCAACCTTAAACAAGTATTCATATTAGTTTTTGGGATGCGATAACCATTCGTATGAAAAGACGTTTAGGAGTAAAGACAATTTTAGGTTGCCTGGAACGAGAAGAAATGAAAATTAGAGCTCTCCTGGTGGGATGTCTTTTTGTCGGGATTGTAAACTACGACAACTATGGCGCATCTGAGTACATCCGCTGCCTGGAAGTGTGCAAGTACTGCCAACCAACGACACTGTTGAGCAGGCAACTAACAGGTTGCAAAGACCACTCGCAACCCGCAAAACAACGCCTACATAATATCTTCTGTTCTGTTGCAGGAAAAGCTTTTTCAAAATCCGAGTATAAACGGCAAAATCTGTCGCTTTCGTGGCTGCACCGTTCCAACCCTTGTGACGGAACCTCTCGTACATTTATAAAATGGGCATGTAAGCACGCCTACAATTAATTGGATGCCCTTACTGCTGCGCCCTAGTCCCGCGGCAGGGCGCGCGCTGGCGTGGCGCGGTAGCAGTCATGACGCAGCTGCTGTTTCACGTGTGACGCTGACTCCGCTTGCTGCCCTTCGGCACCTCTTTCGGGACCACACTTCCGGCTACCAACCGCCTAATGGCCACCACGGTTCTCAGCGCCATCGTCACCACCTGCACCACCACCACCACCGGCATCCCAACCAGCGAAAAGTGAGCACGCGAGCTCATTCCACTATGCCTCACTCCATTCAGCCCTGGCGTCACATCGCATCTATTGACGCATCTCCATCCCTGGCTTTGGTCTTGCCAGGGCGGTATTGCCGTGTCACCACATTGTACTCAACCGTGACATGTGCCACCTGCTGGTTGCGGCACTGGCAAGCTTTCCAAAGTTATCGTCATCCATTGGCCCATGTCGTTAGGTTAAAGCCATTTTTTTCTTCAGCCACGCAGTGTCACTTGACGCCACCGCGCCATTGGCCCTCCATAATTCCATCCTCACTGCTGGCGAAGACAACGTCCACCCTCAGGAAGCGACACATAACACAACCATCCTGGCATTATCGTATCTAGCCATTTGCCTGGTTGAACCTGTAGGCATCAGTCATCAAATAGCTGCTCCATCTTAGCTGTCGCATAACCCGGACCCAAATCCCAAGCGGCGGGGAACCCAAACGCTCCAAACCCCGGGTGCGGGTTCGAAAAGGTCAATTTCACGGCGGATGGCAGATGGCCGAGTTTCGGATTTCTCCCCCGGATCCTCCCCTCCCCTCTCAAACACACACAAACACACACAAACACACACCCGTCCCCGGCCTTCCCCCCACCCGAAGGCATCCGAGCTCTCCCACGACTGGATGTCCTTGTATCTGGGAGCCAAGCTAGCGCTGTGGTCCGGACTCTGCTATTTCCCGTACGACACAATACCTCGTACACTCCAGGAGGAGGGTCTGAAGCTGGTAGCGTACGGCCGTACGAGCTTCACGTGCTGGTGGGTGGGCGGGCATCGCTGCGTGGGTATGGGTAACTGGCTGGTAAACTCGATTCCTTTTTGAAGCCTCCAGTACCCGCTCACACAGGCCCCTTTAGGCGGATGAGACACTCGCCGACCTCCCTAGTGGGTACTTCCGTGGTCCTCATCCCGAAGGGGGGAAGGGGGGGAAGGGCTGGCTGGGAAGGGCTGGCTGGGAAGGGCTGGCTGGGAAGGGCTGGCTGGGAAGGGCTGGCTGGGAAGGGCTGGCTGGGAAGGGCTGGCTGGGAAGGGCTGGCTGGGAAGGGCTGGCTGGGAAGGGCTGGCTGGGAAGGGCTGGCTGGGAAGGGCTGGCTGGGAAGGGCTGGCTGGGAAGGGCTGGCTGGGAAGGGCTGGCTGGGAAGGGCTGGCTGGGAAGGGCTGGCTGGGAAGGGCTGGCTGGGATTGGGTGTTGGCATTCCTGCGGGTTTCTTCACGTTAATGCGCAGCCCTTGTCGTCCGTTCTGACGGTTTGCGCCTTGCGCCGCGCACTGTTTATAGTTTTGCTTGTGCTGGATTGGTGCCCTCGTGCCTGCTGCTACTGCTACTGCTGCTGCTGTTGCTGCAGGTATGTGGCTGACGGCTACGTGGATTTTGAGGCCCTGCCCCGCCGCGCCTTCCCCCGCGTCCCGCCCCGGCCCGAGTCACCACAAACCCTCCATGCCCCGCATCCCCCCGGACAGTGGCATCAGCTGCACGAGCACCCCGGCGATAAACGCGGCAACATCCGCCATGAGGTGGCCTCGGCCATCAGCACGAACACCAGCATTAGGACAGACACCTATGGCCCCGGTAGCAGCAGCATCAGCATCAGCAGCAGTACTGGCGATGCTTCAACAGGGCGCCCTCTGCGGCCCCCTTTGGAGCCATGGGGCCGCGGTGGGATTAAACCTCTCACAGGCGGCAATGTACAGGATGTCGTGCCTGGCAGTCCTGCTGCTGCTTATGATGGTAATAATGGTGGGGAAGAGGGCGATGCTTCGCAGGGTGCTGGCAGCGGCAGCGGCAGCGGCGGGCATGTCCGCAACCACACACCCCCACCGGGACGACATGGTCGTGGCCTGGGCGGCGGTGGCGGCGGCGGTGGCGGCGGCGGCGGCGGCCACACGCGCCGTGATGACCTGCACCTGCACCTGCACCGTCAGCAGCCCACGCTTCACCTCAGGGTACCCCGCGTTGACTTGCGACCTCACAGCGGAGAGGGAGGAGGAGATGGCGGCGACGGCGGCAGTGGCCTGGGAGGTGGTGGCGGCGGCTGTTCCCCTTCGGCTGCCGCGGCGGTTCCTCTTCACTCCCCCTCCAATGGTGGACCTGACCCCACAACCCCCCAGATCCCCGGTACCCGCTGTCGGTTCATCTTCCTGCGCGGGGTGCAGTGGGCCGCTCCTGAAACCAACACGGTGAGGTGCTGCTGCTGGTGGTGTTGGTGGGGGTGGGGTGGGGGTGGGGGTGCAGGTGGGGTGGGGTGGGGGTGGGGGTGGGGGTGGGGGTGGGGGTGATGGTGATGGTGATGGTGATGGTGATGGTGATGGTGATGGTGATGGTGATGGTGATGGTGATGGTGATGGTGATGGTGGGGGTGGTGGGGGTGGGGGTGGGGGTGGGGGTGCTGCTTCTGTTGTTATTGTTGTTGTTGTT